GGATTTTCTATGGCAAATGCTCTTCTGATTGGCACTCTCTCTGCACATTTCAAAACTGCTGCTGCTGATGCAAGAAAAGCGATTCGCAATTCATAGTTCCAAGTTCACTTATTTTAGAATTAGTTATTAAAACAGTTTGGAACTTTGATTTATAGTTTTTCGTTTTAGCGTTGAAAGCAGCAATACTAATCCAGAAATGGTACAGGCGATATTTGGCTCGTCTGGAAGCACGGCGAAAAGCCACTTGGAATATCTTCACGGCGTTAGAATATGCTGGTGAACAAGATCAATTAAAGGTAACTGTTTTTCGACTCAATCAAATTACATCCAAAATTTAGTTGTACAATTTTTTTAGCGATATGATCAACGCGATGATCACATCTGAGAATGGATCGCAGCAACAGACCCCATTTATTGAAGGCTAGTCTACAACCTTTATCTCAAAAAATTTTCTTCTTTTTTTTGTTAATCGTTATATTCAAACTGTATTTTGCTTTTCTGGATCTGACTGAACAGGTTGTAAAACATTATAATTAAGCAAACACACTTAAATTTGTAAACTTTAAGATGATGAGTGTTCTTTTTGTAGCGTTGATAATTTCAAGAAAACCTTATTAATAGTTTTCAACACAAATTTTTTCAGCACTTAGCCGATATGCACCTTCACAAAGTAAGTTACCGACTTCTGTACTGTAAATATTCTATTATGTATATATAACCTTTATCAAAAAAAATTTTCTTCTTTCTTCTTACCGTAATATTTGAAATGTGTTTTCCTCTTTGGTTCTTTATGTATTCTTCCATATGATTTAATTACAGCCCGACAACGTTTATCTTCCAAGCTCACAAAGTTTTTTTTGTGAAATACTAAAGTGAGATGTATGTATGCATGTTCTGAGAAAGGGTCTCTATGTTTAAAGTTAATTTTTAAGAACAAAAATGTCCAGAAATAGTCACGAGTATGGTCACTAAATTTTAGTTTATAGAGAGCATTTTGAGCCATTGAGTTGAAATGTTGATTTCTTCTTCATATTGAATGTAATATTTACTACCTTCTCCTTTCTCAAATGGATGATTATCGTTATGTCAAAGTGTTGCCTGACACCGGCTCAAAAGTTTTCATTTTGAAGCTGTACAAAGCTCATTACAATCAGTATCATCTTTGGGTTAGGAACTACGCGTAATTTTAGCTGAACGTGAACGGGAGTTTGAGAGAGAATTATTGGAGTCTACAAATCCTGACCTGTTGACAGTTGAGAAGTCTTATAAGGGTCCTGTGATAACCCTTCCGTTAAGAAGGTCGCAAGTGGATGCCATGATTGAGGCGTTCAAACAAAATAAGGTAGCATAATGAGATTATTATCTGAAATAGCGTAAATGCCAACTTTGAAGATCGTTTTTTCGAAACGAGCAATTTTTTTCTTCGATCGTTGATTAAAGCTTCGACGTTGCTTGTTCAGATAATACATGTGAAGTATTTGCTGATGATTTTGCACGAAGCTCGAAAAATCTTTAAAACACTGCCTTCGGTTGTACACACATCCACCAAACTGTCTAAGCAAATAACTGTTTGCGGAGATCTACATGGCAAATTTGACGATTTGTCAATCATCATATACAAAGTTTGTTGCTATTGCTACTGTTTATAAAGAGCAAAGTTTTTGCTACATATTTCCGTCAAATCAAATCAAATCAATACCGAGTTCAAAATGTTTGTAGGCTAGATTAAGGTGCAATTATCAGTGCTTTTGCAGATAGCTGCTGCAAGAAAAAAAAAGCTAAAAAAAGCACTGGCAGACAGGACACGTGAGAAAAAGGTTTATTTGAGAAGTTTCTAAATTACCTATTGTCTGAGAAGAAAAAAAGAATAAAGCTATTATTTATCACCAGCAGAGTCTTTCATAATCAACTGAGTCATTGTTTCCTCTTTTGTTCCTTAGTTTCGTTGACAGTTTTTACCAGTTGTCCTACAGAGTTTTTTGGATGCAAATTTAAATGTTTAAAATTGATAACTTTTAGAATGGGTATCCTTCTGTTGATAATCCTTACATCTTCAACGGTGATTTTGTCGATCGTGGACCACGAAGTATTGAGGTGTTTGCATTACTTTGCGCTTTCGTTGTACTTGATCCATCGGCTGTAATACTAAACAGAGGGAACCATGAAGACCATATCATGAATTTAAGATATGGCTTTATTGCCGAGATTATCGAGAAATACAAGGTTAGTGCTGAGTTCTTTATAATTTATCAGCAAATTTCAAAAAATGATTTGATTAATTAACATGAAGTGCAGTAACGTTTTGTTATTGAGTTGGCAGAAAACCAGTGAATGAAAGGAGGGCAGAAATGATTAATTAAGCAAATTTTTTCTCCCTCTCTTTCATTTCTTCCTCTGTAGTAGTTTTGGACGAGAGAGTTAGGGCTGTAATTTTCAGTGGATGATTACTGAAAACTAAAAATAACTGATGTTGAAATGCAAACACATTTTACTGTCAATTAGAAGAGAAATTCATCATTGGTTTTTTCTTCGCCTGGTCTTAACAATCCTTCAAAGTATACAAGTTCTTGTAATTCTCTCAGAATCACTCATCGTTGATAGCACGCCTTTTGGCAGACATTTTTTCTTGGCTTCCAATCGCAACCGTTATCGATAATGAAATTTTTGTGGCTCACGGTGGTATTTCGGATGAAACCGATGTTGCCAAAATTAGCAATATTCAGAGGAATCGGGTTAGAATTTAATAATTAGTTAATTACTTACTACACAAAACGTTTCGAGGTTTATTTTCCAAATATAAATTGAATAACCGGATATGTTTGAAGTACGTGTCGTTACTAAGACCACCACCAGTTGACCGCCGTGACTATGGGATGAAAAAAGGAAGTCTAGACGAATGGCAGAGCTTATCAGATATTTTGTGGAGTGATCCAAAACAGCAGAAAGGATGCTGGCCAAATGCGTTTCGTGGTGGCGGTTCGTATTTCGGGCCTGACGTAACAGAAGTATTTTTAAAGCGGTAAGCTCTGCGTTCCTCATTGCAAGCAGCTATTGTTTGGGGCAATAGGTGGATTTTAGAAAGTCCTCAAAGTCGGGAGAACAGCAATAAAAGGTTTTCTATGCATTCTATGAGTTGGCGTAGAGAATGCTGAGATTTAGTAACCAAAATATGACGAATTTTAAATCATAGAGAGAGATAGAGGCGGGCGTTTGCTTTGCTTGGAAGAACGAACGACTTTCACATCCGGTTAAAAAGTTTTTGCGGAAACTGAATGATAATTTCTAGCTAAAAATACTCACAATTGAGCCGAGGGGGAGGTGGTAGATAAGGTGACTTAGTAAAGAGATTGGTGTTACTTGAACGACAGTGACGGTTAAACAGAGTGAAAAATGATGATTAGTTAATCAAACACGTTTGAACACATGACGTAATTTATTTCGGCTCTGTTGCAAAAAGTTTATAGACAGCTCGTACAACAGCTGTTCGTAACAGTGATTACAACTATAACACAATGTTCATAACTTGAGACCGTTTGCTGATTGAGTCTAAATTAATAATAGTGATGTACATTTAAGTCATAATTTTCGAATGGTGGTACGGTCTCATGAATGCAAATATGAAGGATATGAGTATACACATAACAATCGAGTGCTTACTATTTTTTCCGCTTCAAACTACTACGAGGAGGGGAGTAATCGTGGAGCATATGTGAAATTTGTTTCTGGGCACCTAGAACCTCATATTGTGCAGTATCGTGCAACCAAATTACAAAGACGGGCAACACTTCGAGAGAGGTTTTTCTAATACTCTGTCACAGAAATTTTTATGTTTTTTATTATCTTTATATTACTAAGGCATTATCAGAAAGCAAACGTTCTTTTATAGAGTAAGTATTGTTGAAAAATCGGCCATAAGAGATCTCCGAGAAAAGCTGGCACTGTACAACACTGAATTGCAAAATGAGTATTCTAAAATGGATCCGATGCGCACAGGTAAAAGTTCGCTTTTTATATTAGCTTATTTTACAGGTAATATTACCAAACAAATTTTCCATGTTTATATTAGTACATAAAATGTTCCGACAGCGTATCTGAAATAGTTTTATCATTTTCATCAGTCTGCATTTTCATAATTCAGAAATCAATATTTTAAGGAAAAATTTCAATTCATAAGTGGTGTGAATGTGTAAAACGAGTTATGGGTCTTAACCTACCTTGGAGAGCTTTAGCAAATCGTCTTGTAACGCTTGCCGATGATGGCACCAACGTTTTGTACTCTGTACATCCGAATGTCACTACTTTTGATAAGAACTTCAAAAAGGCTGAAAAGGTAAACTTTTATTGGTTATTTCTATAAAAAATTAACAGTTTCGTAAAGAAGCAATCTTCTTTGTTTTGACTGAACAAGAACTGCTTTGAAGCATTGCATTTTAAAAATTCTTTACAATTTCAGAACTTTTTGAGCCTGTTTGGAAGTGCGGAACCTGTACTTCTGAAGCTACTTCGTGAATATAATTTTGTTCAAAACTTATGTGAAAATTAGAATATTTTCTTTAAACTTGGTTCGAAAGAATACCAGTGTTTTGAGTTCCTCTAAAAAATAAATTTGGTGTAGAGCCTAATTTTCTGCACTTCTTATCAACTTATTCTGAGAAGAGAGTAGGCAATAAATTGGGAGACGGAAGAGGAAAGGAATATGCCATAATTTCTTCTAAGAAAGCAGCTTTGCTGATGACAATGACTTGTCGTTTTCAACTGTTTGAGAATTAGTGGGTTGATAGAAAATTAGCTTATGACAATAAGCTAATTTTTTAGCTTATAGGGTATGGCAAGAGCTAGTTCTGGTGCAGAAATGTAAACCTCGTTCTCTTTTTTCAGTTACAAACAGTTATTCTACTACTATATAAGAATAAATTCTACACTTCACCTGTAGAGAATAAAATTTAGCGTCTAAATTGCTTCTAAAAAAAATATGCATCAGTATTTCTGTAATTTTATTTTGAAGTGAATAGTTAAGTTGGACAGGAAGAAATTTGTTTAGCAAAAGCAGATGTTTGGACAAAACTATTCTTATTTCAGTAGCGAGATTCATTTTAAAAGCAATTTTTTTGGAAAATTAAAAAAAAAGAATACTTTTACGAATTATACTAATTTTATTTCGTTTAACCTGCTTGTCCCAATTATTTTGGCTCTTGTAGTTTGAATTGCTAAAGGTTACTTTACCGCAGACCTAAGTGTTTCTTTGTAAAACATAAAATAACGTATGTGTTGAGGTAACCTGACTTTTTGAGAAGCAAAAAAATTCTGCAAACAAGTCTTTCTACAAAAAAATCACAAATGCATAGGAAGTGCTTGTTTACAAGACGAGTTTATTTGCAATGACAGAGCTTTTCCTTGTCATCTTTTGATATAGCTTATTTTAAAAAGTTGCTATGTTAGTGCAGGTCACACACTTTCAAATGCTGTTGGGAACCATCAGCCGCATATACAACAGCCAAAGTTAAGGTTTTCTAAAATTAGCCATATTTAGCCAGGCATAGATTAGTCTGAGACTAGCCATCAGTTCAAAGCTGCTAAAAAAGCATTATCAGAGGTCAAATGATCTTTAAACTGCTACAAATAAAAAAGTTATAATTTTTTACGATATTTCTAATTTATTACAGAAACTGTCACAAAATGTTTTTGCATCATTGATCTTCAGTCAATTGTTAAGCAATTTTTTAGAGTGGTGGTGACGTCGTTGAAACACTATACAGACATAAAAGTACACTAGAAACGTTGTTCCGCTTCATGGACAAGGTTGGCTGTTTACCTACATTGTTTTAAAAGGCGGATGCTGATGCCTTACGTCATTCATATTCGTAGATACTGTAGTAATTGTCGTTTAACAAACCTTAGACTGTTTTTTTTTTGACGAAGCGACAACTTTCTTCTGATTAAGGACAACTCCGGCTTGGTGTCAATGAACGAATTTATAAACGCTTGTAGCGTCCTAAGCCAATATATCAGCACGCCATTGTCAACTCCCTTTATAACTGATATTGCTAAAAGTATTGACTTCAACAAGGACGGATTTATTGATCTCAATGAACTTCTAGAAGCATTTCGACTCGCTGATCAGTCCAGATAGCGATTAATTTTTACTTACAGCGTCAAACGGGTCCAAACGTGTTTTTGCAGCTTTGTTTGTTTTACAAAGAGATTTTTTCTTGAGCTTATCTTTGTAGATGCAAATGTAGGATAGGATGATCTACAGAAGTCAGTGCTTGAGCTTGAGATTTATTGGTTAGTATCATAGCTAAATAAACTAGTACTGATGTTTGATATTTTTTAGAACAATTGATGTTTTGTAATTTAGTAGAAAATTTTAGTTCTTACTGATTCCTCTTGTGGTGCAAAAATCACCATATTGATGTGGTTTTGGAAGATATTTTTAGGCTAGAACAGAAATTAATGTCCAAAAATTTCGATTCGTTTAGGACAGAACAGAAAGAACATAGAGCATCGACAGTGGCACATTTATAAGTAGGATGATGACGATTTTGCCATGATCTCAAAAAAAGGAATTAGTAAAAGATGTTTTCCTCAAGTTTCTTTCTTTCTAGTGATCTTTTTATTGAAGAAAATTCGGCTGTACTTCTAAACAGTACTATTGTTGTTAACCCACTGTGTTTATAGTGTCTTATAATAGCAAAGAATTATAAAATTAATTTATACTAAATCAAAAACTGAAGTATTGGCAAATTATTGAAGATCTTCTGGCCATACACGACTGAAAACTTTAAAATTCAAATGAATAGCTGGCTCATACTCTGCGGCTGATACTTGCATAATTATTAGATAAAGAGTGTGCAGTAAAGTCAGTGCATTTTAATTTTCTACAGTTCCAGGTCAGTTCTCAAGTACAATTATAAAAATTGTAGTGCACAATATTTATCATTAAATGTACTGAAAACTGTTTAGCACATTGAGTCTTTAGAGAGCAAAGTAATATTTCACTACTATTTTTATAATTTTTATGATTTTTGGTTGATATGTGCACTTTTAGCGGCATCTTACAAATTTACCGTCAGTAATATTCTCAGTCTTTGACGCAGACTTCTAAACAGTTTATTGGCAGTACATTAAAATTTTCTTTGGCAGGAATCAACATGTTTTTTTGCTGAACCAGACAATTTAAAAAAAAAACTGGATCTTCAGCATTACTGCCCGTTTGTTGAGTAGCCGTTGAACAGAATTATTTAATTGCCTCAAAAATAAGATTATCTGTATTCCGTAACCAATTTTTGATCAAAGAACTTTTGAGCACCAATTTACAATTGTAATTAAAAATGGCTTGCTATCTTCCAGAAAAATTTTCAAAACTTACAGAATGAAATGTTACCACGGACCAACGTATGTAATGCATGTGACCTCTTTCAGCACAAATTTTGTTGCCTCACACAATGTATTTCTTTTCATGACAAACCTTTCACTGCTGCTCCAGGTTGAAATTAAAAGACCTTGTAGAAGAAAACTCCATACAAAATCAATTTTTTGATAAAGTCAAAAATTTATTAATAAGTAATGCGTTTTGAAACAACAAATCCTGCAGTACTTCTACAATGAAAAACGAAAACTGAAATATTGATGAGTTTCAGGGGCTAAAATACGTACTTTTTTCCGTTAAATCTTTAACTTTCATCTGGAATTGCACATATTTAGCAGAGATTTAGAGCTTTTTTAAACTCGGCAAGTTTTTATGATATGGCTTCAAACTTGTAGAAACTTGTAGAACTAAAAAGCACCTGTAGAAAGCGAATTTTACGTAAACTAAAAATCTTTCCAAGCTGTTGCAGAGCCATAGTATCTTGAAAATTAGGTAATTTAAAAAAACCAGTAACTTTTTTCCAGACTTCTTTAAATCAGATGATTTTGAATTTTAAAGCTGTTCTTACAGTATTTTGTCATTCGATTCCAGATAAAAAAAATTAGTTCTTGTTGTGCAAAAAGCTGAAAAAATTTCACACACTGGCAAAAAATTCTAAGAGTTTTTTTCGACATCAAAGTACAAAGCCAAGATCTTTCATATGCTAAAATTTAAAATAACTTTGAATCCCAATCCAAAAGTGCCTAAATGAAGATGAAACGACTTACAGGCAAGTAAAATTCATATCCTTTCTTTGTACACTATTACGCAAAGAATATCTTTTTGAATGCCACTGGCTATAGGCCCTGTCGGTTAAACCCGAATGTGAATACGAACAATAGGTAATTTCACCGCTTACAATAAAAACTGATTTATATTGATACTTTCCAGTTAAAAATTGGAAAAAATATTATAGTTTATGAATAAATAGTAGCAGAAAAATAGTTTTAAAATAAAATAAGACCGCTATCCAATAAGAACAACACCTAAGTAAGTGTGCGAACTGCATATCGTCTAGCTTACCTTCTCCAACGAATAAACCTAATATAGAAAATGCAGAAAGACAAACCGGTTAAGAAAAAGCTAATTATTCTTCACTCTGAAATTGTCATTAATTTTTTTAAAAGTTAAAACGTGAACGTCCCTTCCTATTATAATGCAGCACTGTAGAACTAAAATAGCCAACTTCAGCCAACCAACTGTAAAATGTTTTTCAGATAGCATTCTTAGGATTAGTTCATTTCGAAAAAAAAATTTTCTGCCAAATACTACTCATTCCCTTTCGGAATCATCAGGCAAATTTTTGTGCAACTATATCTTTGTCTACCCCGCTGTTAGTTGTTATTATGAAGATTTAGTGGCTTTGGAGTAACAGCTTTTTCCTTTCCAGTATAAAAACCAAACTTACTTTATCAAGTAAATCAATCAAAAAGTTAAAGATTATCATCATAGAAAAGTAGATGAAATAAAATATAATAATAAAAAAAGTAACAAATTCCTGCTCAATTCCTGCTAAAATGTTCTAAATGATGAGGGTACGTAGCGTGTTACAAAAAAAATATGAATATATTAATTAGCAACAAAGATATCACAAAGTTGCAGGTACTGACGAATACAAACTGTCTTCTTTTTCACTCAAAAATTGAAACAGTGATTAGGTTTTAAGTTGGCTGAAGGTACGCGCAAAAAGTTAACTATAAAAATTTATCACGTTGTTTTGAAACTTTTCTTCTACTGCTCCAGACCCCAATTCTATATGCAAATTTTGCAGCGTAAAAAGGTAATTTACAAACGTTTAGTAAAAATTTTCAGAACATTTTGCACACTTTACAGAAGTAAAGGTCCAAATTTAATTATTTCGGCGCTTGTGATCTGCCAAGATATAGGCATTTCAAAAAAAAGTTTCAGAGGTAACTAACAATTTAAACATGAGTGGAAGAAAGTTTGCTTGAATATCGAACGTTCTAAATTTGAAATTAAAGAAGCAACTGTTTAATGAAATTTCAAAACTACGCATTCGCCAGCTCAAAATTGCTAAGTTATCGACTTTCTTTTCTTTTCTTTCCTTCTCCCCCCTATTCTGCACCGGACTGTCCTCTGTAGAATTATAGGGAAGAAGATAAAGAGTTGAGTAAAAAGCTGAGAAAATAGAAAAAAATGGTTCTCTTCTATGGGAACTAACCCTAGAAAAGTGTTACCTAATTCTTTATTAGTCTTGCCGCTGCGTCATACTCTCAGCAAATATTACATTAAGATATAAAAAAAATCAGTATTGTACAAAATTTGAATGACAGGAGTAACTGACAAGAAACGGCAGCAAAGACTTTTTTCTACTAAGGTATATTCTGCATTTTGGAACGGTAGAAATTAGTAAAACAGATTTTTGGTGCCATTTAACTTCGAAAAATAACTAAGACTAAAAATTCAGAAAATATAGAATTTGACGTTACAAACTCCAACTTATTTGGTACCAAGCAAATAAAAAAAATTATTATTAGTATTTGAATCCTGTTTCCTACAGTCTAGGAAACATTATCTCAAATTTATACTTTCAAGTAGTGAAAAAAAAATTAGTTTTACAACTGCTACCGAAAAGTACAGACAAAGTTTACTTATAAAAAAAAGATACTAAATTTGCAAAGTTTCAACGTCCGCAGAAACGAGTAAGTTCCTTACAATTTCAAATTTTTGTTATCATATGCACTTCGTTAGTGCAAATTTATCTATTCATTCATGTTCTTAAACTGCAGCTTCCAAACAAAACTCTTCATTGTTTTGTTCAAAACCGGGCATGATACAAACAGGTCTACTGCTTCTGTTAGGTATGCTTCTCACTAATTAACTAGCGCAATCGCGCCATTCAAAAAAACATCTAACCTTTAACCTCTTCCAGTTCAACTTAATTTGTAGTTTCCTATAATCACACTATTTAAAGTAACACGGCATATTCAACCATGCAGGAAATATTTTCAGTTGGCTGGGCCAGTGCTCAAAATTGCGGAAAAACACCAATTCCGCCAAAGGTGGAGGAGAAGCACTCGGTGAAAATCGTTGGTGGCACCCCTGCCGTACCCTACAGCTGGCCATGGCAGGTCGAGCTCTGCACAAAAAGTAAAACATTTTACACTACTCCTGTACACTTTGTCAGTAGAAAAAGACTGCTAAAAATAAACCTCTTTTTAATTATATACGGCTGATAAACGGTTTACTAAGTATTGAAGTGATAACCTCCTAAAACAAAATATATTTGAAATGAGAGTCTCGCTTGAATTTCTCACCAATGACCAAACTTTTAACGGCATTCAGGCTGGGGAACCTGCGAATTATACTGTGGTGGTACGCTGATCGCACCTGAATGGGTTATGTCAGCAGCACACTGCGTGTCAGTTTTTCAGTCTTTTAAAAACAGATAACTGAAACTGCGAAACCAACAAGGTTGATTCGTATATTTTTAGCGATGGTTATGAAGACAGTCCAGAATTCTTTGGGGTTAAACTTGGAACCTACAAGTACTACGACACTAATGAGGACGGAGAGATGATACGCGATGTAGAAAAAATTTACAAACATCCCAAATACAAGAACCCAAAGAGATATTCTAATGATATCTCTTTAATCCATGTGAGAAAAAGTTCTATTACCGCTTCAAAACCTCGTTTTTCATTCTGCCTAACAATGCATAAGTAAATGCTCCTCTTTCTACCTTCCCCTTATTTCTCCTAGATCTAAATCAGGGAGAAAAGGTGATGCAAAACAAAAAGTGGCAGTAAAACTTTAAACCAAAATAAGAAAATAAAGAAAACAGTCTAATCAGACATCCTGGTTTTGTAGAAATATTTTCAGAAAAATTCACAGATTACTGTCAAGAAAAAGCTAGTCATTCTAATAATGAAAGTCCAACTCAAGAGAAACAAAAATAATCCACTGTTACTTAATTTATTATACTCCACCAAATATCGTAAAATCATGTCTCCAAACAGCCGACTCATCTATAAAATAAGATGAAGAAAAAATAATTATTCTGTTAAAAACTAGAAACAAGTGAAAAAACCAAAGACAAAATTTTCCAACCAAATAATAGTTAATTTCTTCTGCCACTTATCTGGTCTGAAGAAACTCAAGTTATACAAACAGAAAACCTTGTGATTATCCTTCCGAAAAATTAATGCCGTTTTTTAGCTCAAAGGAGGCCCAGTAAATTACACAGATCATATTCAACCAATATGCCTTCCTAAGTCTGTAAAAGACATTGTTGTGGAAGGAAAGCTTGCCTACGTAACAGGATGGGGAGCAACATCAGGTAACAGCTTCGTCATGATAACCTGTCCAGCATTGGGTGCTTCAGATTTGTCGAATCTAATGAATTAATGTTTGTGCTAAGCATCGAACTCATTTCTTTTCTCCTTTAACAATTACCACACTCATGCTCTCAACTGAAGTAGTAGACTAATATTAAAATATTATTCCCTACTGTTGTTTGTTTTAAAAAAAGCTCAATTAAAACACTAAAAATCGTTACTTAATACCTGTAGAATCAAAATAAGCAAAAAAATCATTCAAGAAATCCGCCCGTGCGCTTCATTTCTTATAAAAAGTAACACCGGAAGAAACTCTTTCAAGGATATCACTGCCTTATCAACCACTTCTCAAAATTTTTTAAACACGTTTTAGAGGGCGGTGATGTGTCTGACGAGCTTCGTCAAGTTCATGTTCCATTCCTTAACATGTCCCACTGCAAAAAAGAATATCCAGGCCGCATTGACGAGACAATGGAATGTGCTGGCGCAGAAGGGAAGGACAGCTGTCAGGTTGTAGAAATTTGACACGTTATTATTAAAACGATTTTGAACAGAAAGTTTAAGATCTTAGAAAAGTCATATTTATTATCGGTTACTGAAGTGTTCAGGGTGATTCTGGAGGCCCACTGGTGACGAAACACGATAATAATGGTCGCTGGTATCAAGCCGGTATTGTATCGTGGGGATCAGGATGTGCTGAAGCTGGTTATGCAGGTAAGATATCTTTTAATCTCTTGCTTCATGACAAGTTTTAATTTTAGCTCATCCTACTGTAGGATGTAAATGGTAACTTCTTATTCGTAGTTAACTGTTAACTTGAAATCTGGGAAGGCAATATAAATCCAATTCAAGCTATAACTACATCAAATTAAATAAATTACAGTTACTGCAATAAATCATCAAAACGTTTACCATCATTGCCACGTTTTAAATTAAAAAGGTAAAATTGCCTGACAAGAAAGGTGAAAATGGTATATGCAACAGGTTTCATCAAAGTTTTCGAATAACTCCTGCTTTTGGCTGCCCTCTTTCAAATTCGGCTTATTACCAGCTGCTACAGTCCTGTTTTCGCCTATTTCGCTGGCACGTCATTGGGTCTTTAATTCCTCTTAGTAGATGAGAAGTAACAAAATGTCACAACTGTGTTCCTTCATAGATCAATCTCCCTGACGACTTCACTCATTAGTAATTCTGAGGATCCATCAAAATTTTTACAAACTGTGTCTTCTTTGTGGCTTAAGCCATTCTCTGTGTTATTCTCCCCGGCATCCCTATCAATTTAAAGTAAAGAATAGCACAGTTAATTCTTAAAAATTGCCCCCTTTGGCCACATTTACTACCACTAAATTATAGAAAAATCATCAAAAACTTAAAATTTTTAAAAAACAATCTGTTCCCTAAAATGAAACCACTTTTAACTAATGAAAACGTATTAAATTTGAAACTTCAAAATTAACCGAAATTGAAGTTAGTTTTATTTAGGAGTATATCAACGACCGACAGTTCACTGCGACTTTATTAAGGAAAAAACCGGGCTTGACCTTTGCATAGAATAAGCTGCTGTATTAAACGTCCTTCGTTGTCCCATTTAATTTCAAGTAATAAAATTCTGAATCTTTTGTCGTCCTGAAAAGAACCAACTGCAAAGCAAAATTACACCGGCTTAACTGATATGAATTTGTTAACTAAACCCAGTAACCACAATTGACTAAACTACAATTACTACAAAGTTTTCGAGCAATAAATTCAAATTTGATATTATAAACTGAAACTAAATGAGAAACAGATAAACAGTGTACCATTACCGAACATAACCCACAAACCTAAGGCTCAGAGGGTACAATACAA